CCACCCACCCTTAGTGCAGGGGCGTGTCAGGAGCCCGGTCCCCAGCCTGTGTGACCCTGGGGATGCTGCGCCCACTCTTTAAGGACGGAAACGCCTCTGGACCCAGTCCCTGGTGCTCTGTGCCCAGCGGCTTGTTTGGGAGCGAACACCAGTGTTGTTTTGGAGCCTGCTCTGCAGACCAGGGCCGCTGCCCTCCCCGCAGAGGAGCAGGGTGCTCAACAGCGCCACTCTGTGGCCACCATGGACCACCAAGACCAGGCTCCCTCTGCCCACGATCTGGAGGTGGTGGGTCCCTGGGGTTGCTGCCCACCTCTTAGACAGCAGGGACGGTGGGCCTCGAGGGCAGCACCCACAGGGAGGGCAGGGTGGCCTAAGTGACAGCCTTTCTGGAGACGTGACGTGTCACGTGCTGTGGACGTCCCGGCTTCCCAGGACTGAGCGCAGAGCCTCAGTGAGCCGAGGGGGCAGGTCCTCATTGCAGCCCTGGACAGACCCAGGCCCACAGTCAAGCCCACGTGGGGGAAAGGGCCGCCGTTCTGGTCCTTCTCCCACAGCTGGCCCTTCCAGAACCATCCCTGGGATCATCATCCTCCCCGGTGGGAAAATGAGACCTAATCTGCAAACACGGAGTGACCACAATCATGCAAAGCCCCAGGGGTGGAAGGGGCGCGGGCACGAGGGGCGCCCGCTCCGACCACTTCCGCCCCTCCCCGTGTGCGTGAGCTCCCCAGGCCTCTCCCCTGCCTGACCCGGCCTGTTCCCTGCTCCGTCTGTTTTTCTGACAGCAGCCGGTCGCCAAGGAAACCACACAGAGCACTCGGCGGCAAGGAAGCGCATGCCCTCCGGTCTCCGCGCTCAGGCCTCCTGGCGGGACCTCAGAACCCCCAGTCCACGCACGTCCACCGCCCAGCCCAGGCCTCTCCCCGGAGGCTGGGTGCAGTGTGGAGGGGAAGGCAGGGGACGCTGACCCCACAGCCTCTTCCCTCCATGCAAGCTTCCCTGGAGGTGTGTCCCCTGCAGCCGGTGTGACAGCTGAGGCTAGCGTCCAGGAAGGACAGAGGGAACATCAGGGGCCTGTGCACAGGGCCACTCCCCATCTCACCCACCCCCCGAGGTCCAGCACGTCCTGCCTCGGGGTAGCCGAGGTGCTGGGGTGAGGGGCACTGCGCATGCTCCACACTGGGTTAGTGGGAGGGGTTGCGGCAGCTGGCTCGTCCCCAATGCCAGCAGCTCCCACTTTTTGTCTAAAATGAGGACTGTGGCTATGAGCCTATCCGTGTCTTGAGGTGACCAGGGACTGTCTCCCTTGTGTGGGTGCCAGGGCAGAGGTGTGGTCGCGGGGGCAGGACACGGGGGACACTCCTCAGAACCTCCCAGAGTGGCCGTAGCACTTTCTCTCGCTCTGCATGCCCACAGGCACTTGGCGCTGTCCGTCTTCTCTTCAGCCACTTTTCTATCCGAGACCAAGAGACACGTTGCTGCCCGGTGCCCACGGCCCGCCCCTCCAGTCCCACGCACTCGCCTTTCTATGAGAACACAGAGGCCCAGAGAAGGAATGCCACCTGCCCAAGGCGTTCCGACACTACCTGCACTCAGTGTCCTTTCCCTGGCCCCAAACAGCCAGGCGGCCAGAGTTCCCCAGGTGTGGGGCGTGGCCAGCAGCACAGACACCACCTGCTCGTCCCACGCCCCTCCTCGGACCAAGGCCCCTCCTCAGCCTTTAGCCCAGAAGGTGCTCGCCTCAGTCCCATGTAGTTCTCCAGTCTGGTCACTAGAGGGAGCCAGAGTGTCAGAGACGTGAGGACCTGGGGAGCCCCAGCAGCGGGCTCCCTCCTCTGAGCACAGGGGTCTCTGCAGGGCCATAGGGCGGGTCCTCAGGCACTGATGGGGGGCTTGGGAAAGGGACCTTGTTACCAACAGGGAGGCAGCAAGCCGGGTCTGGTGCATCCCCTGCCCACCCTGGGCACCCAGGCCTGTCACAGAGGTGCCCTGACAAGTGGCCTCCGCAGCCCTCCCTCTGGGGCCTCAGGGGCCTCTCGTGAGGCCATGGCTCTGAGCCCTGACCGCGGCCCTGACGTCTGTGAGGCCCAGGACACACAGCCGTCATGTCTTATAGATGCACAGAGGGTCTTGGTGGCTCTGCTGTGGCTCCGTGTGTTCAGCCCACGAGGCGCCTACCCTGGGCAGCGGGCAGGAGGCTGTTGTGCCTGAGGTCAGGTGTGGACTAGGGGGGCTTCTGGGTGCGGGAGGGGGCAGACCCCAGGGGGACGTGCCGAGGACAGCTCCCTGGAGAGGAAGGCAGCCTGGTCCCTGGGCCCCACTGCTGTGTCAGCCCACCCAGGAGCGTCCCTGACTCCTGGGAGCCCGCGGCACTTGGCTGGGTCTGCGGGGCTTGCTGTGCCTCACGGGCCAGGGTCTGCGGGTGGCAGGAACGTGGTTCCCCAGCCCCTGGGCACGGATCAGGCCGCTCTGTGGCGGGCATGGGGCACATCTAAGAAGATGTACTGGAGTGAGCTCAGGAGACAGGGGAGGGCAGGACGTTGACAGAGGTGGGGCCCAGGAGGGAGTGGAGGGCCAAGGGGCTCACCAGGGGTCAGCGCTCACAGTGGGCCAGAGTGTGGGCACCTGGGAGGGCTGCTGGAGGTGGGCGTCCGGGCCGCAGCGGGGGCCCCTCTGGTCCAGTTCCAGCCGCTGTGGAGTCGTCGGAGACACGCCCTGAGCCACACAGGCCACTTGGCCACGCCTGGAAACCTCCTTGGAGAGCTATGCGTCCCCCTCTCCCACAGCCGTGAGGTTCCACCTGGAGCAACCATCGTCCCACAGGAGCAGCTGTGTCCTAGAGCACAGGTGACGGTGACGCGCAGGACATCTCCAGTTCTACGGGACAGTGCAGCCTGAGGGCTTCTTGACCCCACATGTGTCTGAATTGGGGACAGCCACACTGGTGCTTCCAGCTGGGAAGGCTCTCGTCCCCGCCGTCCTTCACAAGACCCTTGGGCACTGCGGACCAACGTGATACCGTTACTCCTGTCCTTGGAGGGAACCCCGGCACAGAGACCCAGACCACGGTCTTCCCACTCTCCCCTGCATGTCCGCCTGCCGCCTGACCTGGGGTCAAGTCCGGTGGGTGGCACGTCCTCATGGCGAGACGTGGTGCCCGCACTGAGCCTTGCTGCTCCTTGGGGTGAAGGGGGTGGGATTCAGGGCAGCTCCGCCTCCCTCTGAAAGCGGCACTGCTGGCCACGGCTCTGGTAGAGAAACCAGAGCTATTTCTGCAGATGCCAAGGCCAAGGCTCCCTCAGAAAGGCCATCGCCTGACTGCAAAACCACACCCCGATTCCTCCTGCAGCACCACTGCCCCTGAACAGGACCGAAGGGTGATTGGGAAGGTGGTCAGAGGCCGGCACCACTATCCCTGGCCTCTCACAGTCAGGGGCAGGCACTGGAGTGGAAAAACCCCTCACCAGCCCTCTACACCCCAGCACACCTGAGGACTTGGTGACCTCCTGCTGCACCAACTCTGCCCCACTGCTCCCTGTCAACTCTTGAGTTTGAGACTATACCCAGCTGGTTTAGCAAGTCTGTGTCTGTATAATGATGATGTGGTGATGATGGAGATGTGAGGTGGAGATTATGGTGATGATGGTGGAGATGGCGATGGTGGAGATGGCGATGGTGGAGATGGTGATGGTGATGATGGTGATGATGGTGATGATAGTGATGGTGGTGATGGTGGTGATTATGGTGATGATGGTGGAGATGGCGATGGTGGAGATGGCGATGGTGATGATGGTGATGATGGTGATGGTGGTGATTATGGTGATGATGGTAGTGATAATGGTGATGGTGGTGATAATAGAGATTATGGTGATGATGGTGTTGATGGTAATGATGGAGACAGTGATGGTGAAAATGGTGGAGGTTATGGTTATGGTGATGACGGTGGAGATTATGGTGATGATGGTGGAGATGGCGATGGTGATGATGGTGATGATAGTGATGGTGGTGATGGTGATGATGGTGATGGTGGAGATTATGGTGATGATGGTAGTGATATGGTGATGGTGGTGATAATAGAGATTATGGTGATGATGGTGTTGATGGTAATGATGGAGACGGTGATGGTGAAAATGGTGGAGGTTATGGTTATGGTGATGACGGTGGAGATTATGGTGATGATGGAGACGGTGATGATGGTGTTGATGGTGATGATGCTGTTGATGGTGATGATGGTGGTGATTTTGATGATGATGGTCATGGTCATGGTGATGATGGTGACAATGGTGGCAATGGTGATGCTGGTCATGTTGATGGTGACTAAGGTGATGGTGATGGTCTGAATCATGAGACCACCCACTGCTGCCGCTCGTGACACCAGCACTGACTCTGCTTCTGCATCTCATCTACTCTCCTCGCCACCCAAGGCCTTTGGCTGAGGGACGTGCACTTCTAAACCCCGAGCTCTGGCTGGCCACGTTCTCCTCCTCACAGCTGCACCCAGGGCACAAGCTGGGAATTGGGCATCTTCCCACCTGACCCAGCACAGTGCCCAGGGCACGGCAGGGGTGACCCGCCCTCTAATGGACTCGCCTTCTGTGTTCTACAGCAGACCCAGAACCAGAGGGTCTCTCCAGGAACCTGTGAGGGTACCAGTCCACAGGACGAGGGCCCGAGGGCCACAGTGCTAAGTGGTGGACTGCAGTCCCGCAGCTCGGCCGAGCCCCAGTGCCTTTCCCAGCAGAGCCCTGGGGGGTTCCGGGGGCCCTGGGTGCCTGCTCAGGGCTTCCTTCTGTGGCGCTGTCCCTGCTGTCCTGTGCACGGCTGGCCTACAGATTGTTGTGCCCCAGCCCTGGAAGGAAGCCCCTGATCGAGGCTATTGTCCTCCTGCCATGTCCTCTGCGCTGGGGCTGCCACATAGGTGTGCCACAGAAACTTGAGAAATGAGTCTCAGTGAGGTCCCCTTTCAGGTTACCTGACAAGGGTAACGCAGCTTCTAGACACTCTGAACCCAGAGCCAGAAATAACTCGGGCGACAAGAAATGGGTTCTGCAGGTTTAAGGAAGAGAAAGCCACACGGCGTCATTTCTGTCATCAGTAGAGATGACATAACACCCCTCCAGGCCCCCTGTGGGTCTCACTGACAGTGACAGGATTCCCTCGGGGACTCTGTGCAGCATCAGGATGGAGACGAGCTGTGGGGGGGGGCACGTCACAGACACCTGCTCCCACACCCGCGTGCGCCCTGCTTGGCTCTGCTCCTGGGGGCTCTGGGCACAGTCACCACACTCCCCTGGGCCCTGGCAAGCTCGGCTGCAGCTTCCCTGGGCACCTCTGCAGCACCAGCCGTGACCCTGTGCCCAGAACCAGGCTCGGACCACCACTGTGCCAGGGAAGCTCCCTGCAGCCCGGCATCATGGCCACATCAGAAGTAGTGGGACAGCGCAGGTCCAGGGTGCTCTGCAGGGGCCCAGGGCCAAACCCGGCCACAGGGCACAGTGGGCATAGTGGGCACTCTGGGACATCATGGACACTCTGGGGCACTGTGGGCACTCTGGGGCACTCTGGGACATCATGGGCACTCTGGGGCACTCTGAGCACTGAGGGCACTCTGGGACACTCGGGGACATCATGGACACTCTGGGGCACTCTGGGCACAGTAGGCACAGTGGGCACTCTGGGCACTCTGGGACATCATGGACACTCTGGGGCACTCTGGGCACTCTGGGCACTGTGGGGCACTCTGGGACACTCTGGGACATCATGGGCACTCTGGGCGCTGTGGGCACTCTGGGACATCATGGGCACTCTGGGGCACTGTAGGCACTGTGGGCACTCTGGGACACTCTGGGACATCATGGGCACTCTGGGCGCTGTGGGCACTCTGGGACACTCTGGGACATCATGGACACTCTGGGGCACTCTGGGACATCATGGGCACTCTGGGGCACTGTAGGCACTGTGGGCACTCTGGGACATCATGGACACTCTGGAGCACTCTGGGCACTGTGGGCACTGTGGGGCACTCTGGGACATCATGGGCACTCTGGGGCACTCTGGGCACTGCAGGGTCCCATGGCAGCAGCCAGAGCCCCCGGGAAAGGGCGCTGTGCGTGTGGTGCTTGGCACAGGCCCCGGCGGCACCAGCGGCCCTCCGCAGCCCTCCTGCCACCCAGCTCAGCTCTGCGGCCTGGGTGGAGTTTCCTGGACCCACAGCAACCTTGCGGCTGGGCTCCTGGTTTTGATGTGCTGCTCTCCACCTGTGAAAGAGGAAATGGTCGAGACCTCAGAGCAGGGAGTGTCCTTGGCTTTGTTTTCTTCCTGCTCAGGAGTCTACGAAGGCACCGTCCATCAGAGCCTCCCGGCCATCCCAGGAAGGAGACTGGGTCACCCGGGGCAGAGCAGACCCAGGGTGGGGCGCCAGCAGGCGTGACTGCCGTCTCTGTGTTCATTGCGGCCTCAGCCCCTAACCACGTGCCTCACCTGTGTGACCACGCTGGTCCTGGAGGGCGTGGTGTGGCCCCCGTGACAGACGAGCCCCCAGACTCGGGAGCCTACCTTGCTGGGTGAATGGTGAGGCCAAGGCCCCTGACGGCCACCATGAGGGATCCCACTGCATGTCCCACACCAGCTGGGCACCGCAGCCCTGCGTCTCTGTCCTCAGGAAGTCCCCGGCCAGCGAGGTGAGCCCCAGACACCCAGGCCGGCCCCTCCCAGGCACGGCCAGAGGCTGCTGCTACAGCCAGTGCCCCTCCACCACCGCTTGCCCTGTCACCTTGGGTGGTGACTGTCCCTATCTGTGCTCATGTCCCCTTGTGTAAAGGGGGTTCCAGAGCCAAACAATGGGGTGCACGAGAACTGGGGCTCCAGATTTAGACCACCAGGTTCAAATCTAGGCTCTGGTGCTTCTCACTGAGTGCCCGTGACCAGGTGACTCAACCTCTCTGTGCCTCAGTTTCCCCATCTGCAAAATGAGTACAATAATCACCCAGAACAGGTTGTGAGGAGGGTTGGGGGCTCGGTTGCCATGAGGAGACCGAGCACCAGCCACAGTTCATTTACATAAGGCAAAGGGTTCAGACCCCTGCAGAGGTCTGTACCCTCCAGTTCCAATGACCCCAGCTGCATGTGATGCAGAGTTTGCTCCACAGGGACCCCCTGGAGTCATGGACACAGCTGGGCCACTTTGCATAGGGCAGTACACGGCGGGGCTCAATGAAGAGCAGGGAGCAGGCCCTTGACCGAGCCCTGTCCTTACTCAGGACACAAGCCCAGTCACCCTCTTGGGAAGGCAGGTGAAATGCGGGTGAGCCTGAAGACGCAAGAGACGCCACCACGACGAAACGCAGGGGTCAGGGGCGGAAACCCTGAGCAGGCGCCGCTGTGCTGCCGAGGCCGCGGCTTGAAGTTCTGCCATCGAAGTCCTGTGGGGTGGGGGACGGGAAAACCTGAAGAAATATCTGGGAGTGTCCAAACGGGACCAGGGAGAACCTCACCCGAGATCTGAGGAGCTCAGCAGACGCCGAGCAGGAGGCCGTGGCGGAGCTCCGGGCACACCCAGCGGACCACGGCCGGCGCGGGACGGAAGTCCTGGGACTCAGGGACAACGCGAGGCTCCAGGAGACCCAGTGTCCGTCCTGGAGGGTGTCACACCTGAAGCAGGGGCAGCCACTCCAGGGCAGGCGGTGAGAGAACCAGCAAGTCCCGGGAGGAGGGACCCTGGGTGGCCAACAACGGGGAGCGTGCTGTGCTGGCGTCCCTCGTCCCCTCGTCCCCTCGTCCCCTCGTCCCCTCGCAGAAGGCAGACGGCAAAGGACAATTGAGGCAAATAGAAAAGGCCGGGCAGGTGGCAGCTGTGAACTCGGCTCAACAATAAGGGGACGAAAGGATCGAACGTCACCAAAGAGGAGGGATGAGGATCCCGTCAGCCTGTGGGGACGCGGGGAGCACCCCGTGCCCAGCGAGGACTTCGAACACTGAGAACTAACCATCCGTGAGAATTAGAATTCCAAAGAAGACTGAGCGCATGGGGTGATGAGGGGTGATGAGGACACAGGGACACCCGGCTGCCTCCCGCGGCGTCTCCCTCCAGCTCGTGTGACCAGACGGGGCACAGCCAGGTACCCAGGACGATGCCTGCCCTCAGGTCCATAACCCAGGTCACCTGCAGAATGCCATATTCACAAGCTCTAGGAGGACAGCGCGACCCTTCAGGGGGCCAGGGCCGGGACAAAGGACAGGTGACCCCACCGCAGCGGTGGTGCTGTGCAAAGGCTTCCCCCCGGTGTCCCGTGACTTGACTCCTGATGGCCTGGAGCTGGAGGCAACAGGAACGGGCTGATGAGCCCACCCTGCGGGTCCAGCACCACGTCGCGACCAACCAGAGCAGCTGACCACTGCCGTCTTCGTCCTTCCTGCTGCTGTGACAAATGCCTTCAGCTGACCTCAGCCCACTCCCCAGCACTGTGGGGAGAACTGGGCAGCAGCCCTGTCCAGGAGCCTGGCTCTGCCTCAGAGCCGGCCTCTTGCTGGGTCCCCGCAGGCCAGAAGGTGTCCCGAGGCACCGACTCCCCACCTGTAGCCCCTCGAGGCCTTCACTGACACTGATGCCATCCCTGACTGATGGCCCCTGCTGTGTACTGCCCCAACTCAGCACCATCCCCAGCCCTGACCGCTCCCCGGGAGGTCACGCTCCAACCTCGGAAAGTGGGCAGACGGCTCCGGCCGCAGCACGCTCCTGCGTCCATGCAGGGTGTTAGGAGGGGAAATGGCCGGGCTGGGACCTGGTCGGCCCACCAGTGTGACGGGACTGTCTGGTGGTCACTGTCAGCAGGCGGGCGTGGCCAGGAGGTGGTCCCTGGAGGGACACAGCTGCCCTTTGGCCCCTTCCCTCTTCTTCCTCCTGCCACAGTTGGGGCCCACTCCTCCCCACGCCCCTTGGCCATGATGTGAACCGTGAGCCCCAAGTAAACTGTCCCTCCTCCAAGTTATTCTGGTCAGGTATTCGTGTCACAGGGACAAAGCTCACACACAAGCTACATCACAGGTGCATCTTGAAACCTCTGTGCTCCGCGAGGGGCCGCGCTCCCCCACCGGGCAAAAAATAGAGAGTTTTCAAAGTACAAACTGTGACATTCCACTTGTGCACGGTTCTAGAGGTCACTAACGAACAGTGACCGCAGATCAGTGCCTGCCAGGGCCAGCGGGCACCGCGAGGAAGAGCCGTGGGGGCCACAGGGCCGAGCAGCTCTCGGGCGGGTGACCTTCACGTCCTGAGTGCTCCTGCTGGTGGGTTCCGGGTGTCACCGCCTGTCGGGTGCCTGTGAGCACCGTGCACACCCACCCTGCCCCCGTAACGCTGGCACGCGAGGGCAGCCCTGCAGTGATACGGCAGCTGGGCGTTGGGGAGCCAGGGGGCGGCTGCACAAGTGGTCATCGTACGTGAGAGAAGGGGGTCAAAGCTGCAGGGAACGAAGGCTGGTTCTGCAGTAGCCCAGCTGTGGGCTGAGGCACAAGGAATCCCCTGAGCCTCACCTTCTCATCTGTAAAGTGGGCCTGATGCCCACACAGAGCTCAGAGGCCGCGAGCACGGAATTGGAATAACACGCAGAGCAGGTTTGTCGGGCCCAGAGTGCAGCCCACAGGCCCTGAAGGTGGCCTTCATTCCCAAGCCCAGCTCCTTAGCTGAGAGACTTAGAAACTGTGAATCAGAGAGGTTGAGAGACTTGCATGAGGTCACAGAGTCAGTGCCAAGTCTGCATCTAGCCAAGAAAAGCTACCTTTAGGGCCACTCACTGCTAACACTCTTCTTAGATGCCTGAAGCAGTTTATGCAAATAGTGGCCAGGCTGCCCCACAGGGACCAGGTCCTCACTCTGCCCAGCAAGGAAGCCTGGCCTAGCACCCAGACATTTTTAACAGGGTGGAGATGGGTGCTTTGCATAGCCTGTCCTTTCTCAGCGGAGCTCCAAGGTCAGACTTCTTTGTTTAGACAAGCAGCATGGCACAGGCTCCAACTCCACTGTCACAGCCCTGTCCCCAAATGGGTCCTGAAAAACACTGTCCTAGAAACACCTCCGTCTGCTCACCTGGATTCTACGGAAGGCCCCTCGGTCCAGGGTCCGTGGTGGCGCCAGCACAGGGCGGCAGGTGCAGGTCCACTACCTGGAGAAGCCAGGCAGCTCCGCGTCTGCCCCTCTGGCTCCGGGCCGTGGCTCCTTGATTCGGGTGGTTTTTTGCCGAGGGATCAGGAGGTTCACAGGTGTGGTGGCGAGGGACAGAGCTGGACAGGGATAAACAGGGGTCACGTGGACAGGAGGACCCATGGCCGGCATCTGAGCCCTCCCCCGCCCCCGCTCTCTCCTCCCAACACACCCTGAACTTGACTGCAGACCACTCTCTCCCCCGGCTGCCCATGGCTCTCGCTGACCCACGAGATTCTCCTCCCTCAGTTGATCCTGCCTCCCGTTGGAAGCACACGGCTGGAAATGGCCGTCCCCCTCCAGGAAGCGGCGACTTCTCAGTAGGCAGCAGGAACCGGAGCTGAAGGCAGCGCTGGACGAGCTGGCTCCTCTGTCTCCCCCACGGAGGGGCTCTGCCACCCAGGGAGAGGGGAGCTTGCCGGGCACGCGACTGCCGACCGCCCCGCAGTCTCAGAGGCATGCACGCGTGTGTGTGCGTGTGTGCACGTGTGTGCGTGTGTGTGTGTGTGCGTGCACGCATGGGTGTGCATTAGGTGTGTTCGCACGCTGCTGTTCCATGAGCTTGTGAAGCACTTTGGGTGAAAAGCCTCAAAACAGCAACTACGAGCATGGATTCTTTTTAAACAGTGCCCCTTGGTGCCCAGGCTTTAGCCGCGCCCCCTGGTCCCCGCAGCCTGGATGCTGCTCTGCGGCCAGCTGCCCACGGGACACACCTGTGCTTCTGTGGGCTTTGCCTCCATTTCCCCAGGGGCCCAAGCACAGCTGGACGGTCTTGTTGACCCTCGTCTGAGGTTGGGACAAAAAATGGGAACAAGAAAGTGACGCTGGGCACAGGTGGGCCGCGGTGGTGTGCACTGCGGGGACTCGGGCATCGTCTTTCCACCCTTCCCTTAGAAACAGGGACACCAGGCCCCGAGGACCCACGGAGGGACAGAGCCGACTACGCAGCCCCCTGCAGATGCGACTCACTGGGGCTCCGAAGCCCCGTGTCCAGCAGACGTTGCTCCCCGTCTGCAGGCCACAGACGCACCCTCCCGCAGCCTGGGCAGGGCTCCCGGCCGTCCTCTGGTCTCTCTGGGCAGAGTCTCACTCCTGTGTAAAACCAGCTCACACATGAGTTTCAGGAACAAATACCTGTCACCTCCTTCATGGTGAGAAAAGGAAACGGCGGGGAGTTTCCTCCTTTCTGGCCAGCCAGGGCTGGGTGCCTGCAGAGGGGTGCAGGGGACAGCTGGGGAGGCCAGGAGGACGGTCCCAGGCATTCTCCATTCCATGCCGTTCCCTCCCTGGCCTGGGCGCTAGTCCACGCACTGTCCACGGTCACTTCCGATGCACACGCTTCTGAACTTGGTCTTGAAGTGCAACATGGAACAGAAAGCGCACAGATCCTCTGGGGAAATGGCCCAAAGGACCAGCAAGCTTCCTCTCCAAGCACCTCGCGGTGCCGGGTGGAGGACTGGAGCCCTGTCAGCCCCACGAGCCCCTCGGGTCCCTCCCCCACCCTTCCCAGGCCCCCAAGTTTCCCTGCCCCTCAGTCCAGCGTGAACGGACCCGTGCTGCCGGCTCCTCCACACACCTTCTTTCACTGCGTGCTCTCTGGTCTCTCAATACGCACGTGCAGTTAGGTGGCATGAACGGCCGTGTCTGCAGGTGCAAAGGGACTGTGGCAACAGCACCAGCCTCCACGCGGCCCCCGCCAGGACTGGGCCTCTGCCTAGGACGCTGCACCAGGGCCGTCCGGCTTTCTCTCTCCTTCTCTCTGACTCGTGGCTTTGTCTTTCAAATCCTTCTGTACTCTCTGCACACCCAGCTGCCCACTCAACTGCCTGCGGTGATGGCCATGCCCACCACACGTCCCGAGTCCTCGGTGAGCCAGGGAGAATGTCTTGGGGACAGAATCCGCAGTCACAGTGGTGGCCCACACGTGTGTTCTCAGGTTAGGGTTTTAGTAACGTCCACCCCAATGATGCCCCGCTCAGCTTGTCCTGTGGCCCAGAGGCAGGACAGGTCCTGGGGCTCCCAGGAAGGTGGGAAGGAGGAGGGAGAAGGCGCTGGGGAGGGGCCGTGACCAGCCAGCAGGGGGCGCTGCTGCCCTTGAATCTCAGTCCAGTGGCCACAAAAACCATCTGATGGCACTGCTACAGCTGTCCAGCCTCTCAGAAACCCAGCACTGCCCAGGACAGACACAGGCCCTGAGATACGCCAGGGTGGCAGCCGGAGCTGGGGTCCCAAGAGTGTGCTGGGCAGGAAGGGGTCCCTGTGTCCTGCATCCTCTATGCTCCCAGAGGTCCTCGGCCATCAGAGACACTTGTGCCCTCCCCAGCCCCTCAGGGGTCAGGGCCCAGCCCAAGCCCCCAGGTTCCCAGCCCCAGAAGTTGGGCTGAGTAGGTCCTATCTTGAGGTCCTTCCCCGATTCACATCTGGACTTTGAATCGTGAGGACAAGAGTGGAAATGAAAGAGAAAGTCGAACAGATATTTCACCGAGGCCAAGACTGGATGTTCCAGGGCACAGCTGTCCCCTTATCCAGCATGATAAGTGTTGGTGTCCTGTGGCCCTGGACCTCGAGGACACCCTGGGCTCAGGGATCGGAAGTTCGTTCTTCTGCTCCTGCTCCCTGGTGACAGAGCCTCACCCCTGTCTTGTCACTCAGCACTTACTGGCCCTCTGTGCTGTGTGTTGGCAGGGGACCAAGGCAGGAGAGCAGGCCTCTCGGGGCGGGCAGGCCCACCCACTCTCAGGGTTCTCCAGGGGGCTCCGAGACGCCCCAGTCGCGGCTCAGGAAGGCAGGTGTCCAACGCACCAACCCTGGGGGCTGTGCCCCGAGTTCTAGCTCTCCAGGACCAGCCTTGATGCCCCAGCCCCGCCCTGCTGTGTCCTTAAAGCATCAGTCTTTATCAAAGGAACTTCCGGCGTAGCTAGAGTGACAGCAAGGACACAGGGGTCCAGCCCTGTCCTCCCAGGCCTGCAGAGGAGGAGGGTGAGGCGGAGGGAGAACTCTCAGGACACCTAGGCCATTGCAGGGGGAGGGCCACCCCTACCCATCTGGTTTAGGACACGTAACCCCTGCAGGGGCAGAGCCAGTTGCCTGTCACCCCAGCCCTCCCAGGTGGCATCCGGAGTGCAGGGGGGGCTCTGGAAAGAGGCGTCCCTCCAGTCGGTCCAGGTGGCTTCCTAGAGGGCCGCACCCTGAGGCTTCACGGCCCCTGAAGCGGAGTGGGACAGCTCCCCGAGGGCGGGGCGCCGTGACAGCTGCAGGGCAAGGTCTCCCTCCTCTCCACCTTCTGTTTGGGGGTTTGGTGCTCGACTTTTTTATCCTGTTTTTTTTCCCATTTTTTTTTTAATGTTTTCCTCCAACTTTGTGGTTTCCAAACTCAGCCCACGTTGCGTTTGGGATGTGAAGGAACATTCCTCTGTGCTCGGGGGACGACACCTGCTGGCCCTGCAACCCGCAGGCCAAGGAGAGCAAACCCCAGAACGGCCCCGTGGGCAGGGCCAGCGTCTCTGTGGCCGGGTGTTCACGGCCACAGAGTGAAAGCAGGACCACGGTGATGGTGCCTCTCACTGGCGAGGGGACGGCTGAGGGTCAGGCGCTGTGCCCGAGGCCCCACAGCAGGCTCCACGGGGCCAGGGCCACCCAGCCCGTGGAGCTGGCCAGGCTCGGCTGCACCGAGACACGGATCTCTGTCCACTTCCTCCAGGACCCCGAGAGGCCTGGGAGCCACCTTCACCCAGCTGTTCTGGGGCCCCGGAGAAATGGCCCCAGAGGAAAACCTCGTCAGGGAAAGGAGCCAGTCCCACTGCTGCTGGCAGACAGGGGGAGATGCCCTCCTCCTCGAGTGCGGCTGACTGTCCTGGGGCCTCCTGGGAAACCAAGGACGGAGAGGCCCGGCGCTGGCAGGCTGGGGGGCGAGTCCACCGTGGGGTCCAGGCCCCGGCTCAGGGCCCCCCGCCAGACAGCCCAGGACAGAGGCGGGGTCCAGGGAGGTGAGCGGAGAGCCCCCCACCCTGTAGCCAGCGCCCTAACTCTGCAGAGGGGGAAGCCAAAGGCGAGGCCACAGAGAGCCAGCTCCCAGCAGCTGTGGAGGCCACCCCTGGGAGGGAAGAGAGCCGGCCCTTCCTGTGGCCAGGGGCCCTGACCCATGAGGAGCAGGGCCCAGGGGGCAGTCTTCTTGGAACCCAGGGGCCTTGCTCTCAGCCCTCCTTGGAGCACCCCCTCCTGATGCCTCCTGACCCAAGCCCTGGACCAGAAGGCTGACCTGAGAGCTGTCTCCCTGAGCACCAGCAAGGGACAGCAGGACCTTAGAGATGGCTGGCGAAGGCCTCAGTCCCTGTGACCAGGGTTTGCTGGGGGCTGTGAGGCCTCCCCCTCCCTTGGCCCACATCGCAAACGCCTTCTCCCATGTGTCCTGCTGCCAAGACCCTCGCAGGCCTGGGAGGAGAATGACCCAGGGGGCCAAGGGCAGAGGGAAGAACTTCTAGGACCATGGAGGGTTGGGAGGGATGCCGGCACCCTGCCAGGCCCCCAGGGGGCACTGGACACCACTGTCCCATGGGGCTAGGAGGACGAGCCGCTGCCCCATCCTCGCATCCTCCATCTCTGCCTGGCCCTGTGTGACCTCAGGCACGTGATCCCACCTCTCTGGGATCCTCCAAAGGGGACTCTCATCTCCAGGTCTGAAGCCACCAGCTGGCCGTGACCCTCTTCCTTCACACCCCACCACACCGCAGCCAGCCTGGGTGGGGCTGTGGTCCAGATGAGGACTGGGCCGACCGCCCCTGGAGAAAAGGCTGCCCTGCAGACGGCGGGGAGGCCAGGCCCGAGGAGGGGCTGCACGTCCCTACACACACCCACACGTGGCCACCCGGGTGCAGCCTCCCCCTGTGAGCCGGCCGGCCGGCAGGGCGGGGAGGACGACATCAGGCAGAGTGTGTTGCTCAATGCCAGGACCCTGCCAGGTCCCAACGGTCAGGACCCTGCTCTGGGAGGAGAGGGGCCTCCCATCCCGCCTCCAGCCGCAGGCTTTTAATACATTTAGAGAAGTTGGGTTTCTGCCAAGTTCCTCTCCCTCGCATTCTTCCCGTTGCCCGTGGGTCCTGCCCCACCCCCGGCCTGGCCCTGGTCCTCGCAGCTCCTCAGGGGCCTTTCGGGGCCACAGAAAACACAGAGGCCCCGTCACCCAAAGACCCCACCTTCCAGGCAGCCCGCCCGGCACCCGGGTCCTTCCCTCTGCCCGGGCGCCTGGGAGGCCCGTTCTCTCCACCCCCTTCCCACCAGCTTCTCCTTTGCTTCTTTGCCCCTCTGTCATTCTGTGTGAGAGAGGTCAGGCCTGACCAGCTGGGGAGCCACGTGTCCACGGGGTATGTCTGCGGCTTCACCCCTTGGTGGACAAGGGGTCTCTGAGTGAAGGGGCAGCTGGTTAGGTCGCCCACGCCAAGCCACAAGGTGGCCAAGGTGGGTGCTGTGGGCTCGGATATGGCCTGCCCGTGGGAAACGCAGGGCTGACCCACGTCACAGCGAGTCCCCACGCTCACGAGCAGCGCTGGGTCTCCAAGCAGGAGCTCCTGCCCCCAGTCCCTCTCTCCATCTTCAAAGCTGCCGTCAGCTCCCACAGCTGCCGAGACACGGGCCACAGCTGGCAGCGTGGAGGACACACATCTCCTCAGGGCTCCGGAGGTCACAGACTCCACGTGGCTCTCACGGGTGACGTCGAGGTGCGGGTCCCAGGAGGCAGCCCCTCCTCAGCTCCCCGGCCCCTGCAGGTGCCTGTGATCCACTCACATCACCTTCCTCCTCCTGCAGAGCCGCTGCCGGCCTCCATCTCTCCCCCGTGCCGCCATCTTCCTTCTCTAACTCGACCCTCTTCTCCCTCTTTGGAGGAATCTGTGGTGACGTTGAGCCAGGTCAACCTCCCATCTCAAGGTCCTTCACTTGAGAAGGGAAGGACTCCCATGTCAGGTACGGCACACACAGGTTCAGGGACTCGAGTGGAAACAGCTTTTGGTGGTGGAGGAGCATTCTCCTGCCAACTACACCAACTCAGGAAACCTGCTTATCTTCTCTGGGCTTTTTTTCTTTCCTCTTCTGTAAAATAAGGGTGTGATGGTGGTGATGATGGTGATGGTGATGGTGATGGTGGTGATGATGGTGATGGTGATGGTGATGGTGATGGTGGTGATGATGGTGATGGTGATGGTGATGGTGGTGGTGGTGATGATGGTGATGGTGGTGATGGTGATGGTGGTGATGGTGGTGGTGGTGATGATGGTGATGGTGGTGATGGTGGTGATGATGGTGATGGTGGTGGTGATGGTGATGGTGGTGATGGTGGTGATGCTGGTGGTGATGGTGATGGTGGTGGCGATGGTGATGGTGGTGGTGATGGTGATGGTGGTGGTGATGGTGGTGGTGATGGTGATGGTGGTGGTGATGGTGGTGGTGATGGTGGTGGTGATG